TGTATATATATATATATATATATATATATATATATATGTGTATGTATATATAAATAAAAAATGTGTGTATGTATGTATTTGTATATATACAGATATATATATTTATATTCTTATATATCTGTCCATCTACTCACTGCTTAACTTGGTCCGAGCCGCAGGGGACCCGGAGCTAATTCTGCAAGCATAGGGCACATGACTTGGGCCTATCCTGCCAGTATATTGAAGGGTACTACCGACGTGAATTAGAGTGTCAGCCTACTGAGGAAGCCCGGGTGACAGGGACAATATGCAAACCTCTGTCTCACACAGGGGAGGTGGGAGTCCAACGCCGAGTTGTGAGCGGGGGCGTTGGAGGGCAATGGATACCCTGGCAAACTTGGGCACCCTATGTTTGGTAACATCTGCCGCAGGGTTGCCAACTCTCACGCGTTTGGTGTAACACTTTCATACTCTCACGCTCATGCAAGAAATCTATACCTAATTATAAACATAAAATGGGCAACATCGAAAGTGTTGGGGTAGTTTGCAAACCCAGCAGACTATTTACAATGTAATAAAACTCTTCTACAGGCTGCCACAAAATTCCTTTTGTAGATTAGGATGCTTTCTGAATAAAGTCATATTACATATGCTGCACATAAATAACAGGAATCCAACTAACCCCTGCTATTTTACCAATCATCCATCTACACTTTGCATCTCTACTCGTGTGACTGAACCTGTACCTTTATACAGTCTCACTGTTACCATTCGATTACGGCGGTGGAGAAAGGGCTTTTAGCGGCGCTCCCAGTCACTTTTATTTATTTATTTATTTATTTATGTATGTTACCGCAGAGCTACCGATCATTTTGCTGCTTTGAACAGGAAGGTCCCTCGGTGGAAGAAGGGAAAGTATTTCCTCCGCATCGTGATTCAGTTCACATGCACGCTTAAGCGCTCGCTGTTCATCTGCTGCCGGAAAATGGGACCTTATTAATGAACAAGGCGAGCCGCATATGAGCCCCGCCGGGATTTCATACCTTTAGTACGGCCTGGGGGTTAAACGTGCTGACTGGCTCTGGGTCCCAGGAAAAAGCTGCAATGCTTGGTGGAGCGGGGGGAGCGGCGATCTGTAGCTGGCCGTGAAAGCCGGTGCCGACGGAGGGTGGGAGACGGTGCTGGGGGAGCCGGGGGGAGCCGCGATGAGCCTGAACGAGGTACGGAACCGCTCACTCACCGCAGTCCGTGTGCAGTCGCGCAATGTCACTGCCAATATTATAATTCACATTTACACTGATATGTAAGTTCTTGCTGTTATGGCATTTTTCTGGTGCATGAATAACGAAGCAACTTTTAAATTGAACATTAAAATGTTCATATTGTGAAGTCGGAAAACAAAATCCCCAAAGAGTGAGTTTCTTCTCTTTATAACAGTTCTGGCTTTTTTCCTGTTCGTCTGGGGACCGGCCCCTCTAGGCAGTCCAGCTAATATCATATTAAGCGGTATCGCCACTTGTCATTTTCACATGAAGTACACATGAATCATTCCGTTGTAAACCTATTCAAACTGATAAGGGCCTTCAGAGAAAGCATTATTAAACGTCACTATACTGAAAATAACGATTTAATGCCAGTTGTAAGGAAATGATAGAGTGAAGAATATCGCTTTATTTTATGTATTAGAAATCCTTGATTATAGTTTTAAATAAATTTAAATTGAATGAATTACAAACTCAGGCCGATTCTGTGTCGGAAGCAGTGTCAGCAGCACCTAAATAACGAGTTTCCCACGGCAGCTAATTTGTATTGAATGTTTTAAATCTCTCAGCAGCACCAAAAACACAGAGCCTCACAAACTAATACCGAGTGGGCTCCATAATGTCTTACATTTGCCTGGCATAAACTAATTTTACGAAAGAATGAGTCAAAAAGTCGGTTCAACTGTTTATTTAACAAGAATGTTTATTCAGTGTTTTTGAAGTATTCTGGATATGGCAGTTCTTAAAATATTAACATCGGCAAATTATATGTTTCCATCTTACAATTACGCAAAAAGGTGAAAGGATAAAGTTAGTCTAAAAATATTTCATAAATAAATTCATATAGGCCTACTGAAGTATGCAACATTAAACAGAATGCTTTGGACATGTGCGGGTACCATGTATGCAGTGTGCAAAACGTGTTGTCCTTCTTTGTATTAAAATTGTACTATATCATTTTATATAATAAGTTTCATTTTAGTTACAGTGGATATAAAAATCGCACACACCCCTAATGGAATTGCATGGTTTTGTAAGGTAAAGCCCAAAATGAAGATTATGTCAGATATTTTCCATGTTTAATGTGACTTTGCAAACAAAAAAAGAATAAATAGAAGGATATATAGTAGGACAAATAACAACAACATCGATAATAATAATAATAATAATAATAATAATAATTATTATTATTATTATTATTATGTTTCAAATGTAAACTGGCTTGGATGCTCTTTCTCGTGAAAAAAAAATGGCTTCCATATTGCCAGTCTACCCAGTAGTCCAGACACGTGCAGGATATGGGAGGTTGTGCCCATTACCTTCCAGAGATTCCTCTGTCTCTTTATTGTTGCTGTGGGCCCCTTGGCAGCCTTGTCTTCACCATTGGAGGTTTGTCGTGATCTCGGCAATCTCTCTATACAGCCATATTTTCCCCACTAATTGATCATAGTCTTCATAGTTCTCCATTATTTAACATACTAATTATATGTTTTTTCACTCAAATTTTGTTGGTTGCAGGGTCACATTAAAGGTGGAACAATATCTGAGATGATTAATATTGATTTCTGTCTTTATATCACAAATACTTATACCCACTGTATTATGTATTTTGTTGCACAAGTATTTTGTTGCATCCGGGCAAAGGATGCATCCATCCATTTTTCTAATTAATGAGAGGGTGATTTATAACAATATAAGCAATTTTTGGTCACAAAACCCAAAAACAAGCTAACACTGTTTAGGGTACAGTTTCACAGCTAAATATAACCAAAAAAATAACTGATCCATATGATATAATGCTTTTATCTGATATAGGACTACTGTCTGAGTTAGGTGTATGTTTCGTCCTTATGCTCTGCATGCACAGCGAATTGGCCTCAGTAATGTGGTGATCCACAATGAAAGATAGGGAACACACTCTTATTTATTTATTGGGGGGGGGGTAATCCCCCCCATCCCCCCCATCCCCCTGATTTCTGACACCCCTGGACAGTTGTACTAAGCGTGTATGTGCTGAGGTGAGACAGAGACCAGCAGGATCAGAGTCTAACTCACTCACATTATTGCTTAGACGTAGTACAATCCATAGAGATTTGTGTGTCCATATGTAGCAGATGGAGATGACAGGAGAGGGTACACGTCCTCATTCGCGGGCGGCAAAGCGATGCCTTTGGGGGGGCCTGAGGCAGCAGTGGAGGCTGCTGGGATTGTTCGAGATCAGCCCCCAACACGAGTTCTACGACCTCACCTGCATGATGAAGGAGGGCCTGCAGGCCGCTGTGCAGAACACCATCGACAATCCGCCCCCGGTGAGAACAGTCCTTCGACTGCCAATGTTGGCTGACCAGTAGGGGGCTTAGTTCTTAAGGAACTGAACTTCACTAAAAGTGTGCAACAGACCCTCCTGTTGTACCTTTGAGTGATGTGCCTATTCTAACCTGCTCAAAAGGGGCAAAAATTATCGGGTAAATGTTAATATAATCAGTGGCACACAGGAGAACATGAAAATGGAGAATCAATCTGCAGGTTACTGCTTCTCATTTGGGTGTGGAATGCTAATTGGTTCATAGAAAGAGCTACCAGATAATTGGTTTATAAGGAGAGTCCCTCCCCAAGTTGCAAGACAGTTGGTTTCTCGGAAGAGTTAAGCAGTTGTCTTGCAGCTGGAGAAGGTTAACAGAGAGCTATCTTGTAATAGGCTAGGGACGAACTATAGGCTGTTGTCCTGAACACTGCATTCCTTTGAAAACAATGATTTTGTTGTCCACTGTTTGGCTCCCTGCGCATCGTTCTGGGACATAAATGATCTAGTTCTCTCTCCAGCTACAGACTGGACAGTTTAACATTAATTGCGCACTGAATCTTCTTCATATATCAGATGAAGAGGAGTCTATTTGAGGGACCTCAATCCACAGGTACAGATGAAACTAGACAACACTTAAGTGCTCAGTGGACTTCATGAAACACCTATGATCCTCATGCCAAGAAATGAAACAGAAATGTGCAGATTTTGGTTCACACTTCGTGGACAGCAAACATAATGGCACATCATTGCTGTCCAGTGAAAGCCCTATATGTCCACTGTTGACAATTGAGACTTTTTACTGTAGGTGGAATACGCCCTGATCCATATGATAAAATGCTTTTATCTGATATAGGACTACTGTCTTCGTTAGGTGTATGTTTCGTCCTTATGCTCTACATGCACAGCGAATTGGCTTCAGTAATGTGGGGATCCACAATGAAACTGTGTGCTGATAGCAATTGTCGTATAACTGACCAATGTAAAGGTGTTTTATGACATTATCTATTTAGATAGCATTTATGTTCGTACTACTTAACATTTGTTTTCATGATGGTTGCTTGAATGGATTACTTAACATAGCTAACTTTAGTTGACTACCATCATTGTTAATTGTGAATATAAAGAGAGATTAGTTTGTATCTTGTTGACACTGACATTTACCTCACTGACAACAATCTACATAAGTCCATTTAAATATTGAACCATTCACTGATGGTGATGTAAAGAAAGAATTTTATTTGTGGTGCTAAGGGTGTCTCATTATTTTGTTTTGGGTGCATTTTGTAAAGTAAGAAAATTCTTTTCACGCTCCCGAAATAATGTATTTTTGGAGATATGTATTTTACATTGGACAGTGGAGAGGAATGGTATAATTCTCCTTTGGAATGGACATTGCCATACCTACTCATAGATGAGGGCAAAGTCAGCCAACAAACAGCCTGTCCACATGCCAGAGTGTAACTTGAAGGCTTCTAGATGTTCAGACAGTAAGAAACACCCCTTATTAAAAACACATCCTAGGTACAGATTGCATCATGCAGACTATGAAGCATGAAAACCATACAGCAGACAGGCTCCTTCTGCCCAGAATCTAGAGATAGTTACATCACTTTAACGTTTACTGTACATCTTCAAATCATTCTTGCAAAGGAAATGGCACAATCTTATTATCATTTATGGGAATAATTCAATACTTGGCTAATGGGCACGGCAGAAATTCCCCATAGATCCAGCCTGTCGTCATGTGGTTATAATTTCAGTGTTACTAAAACAGATGCTGTCCTAGGAGCCTGTTTGTCTTGAGAGTTTATAGATGGTGTCTTTACAAGCACGGCTGTTCCTCACTGTCACTAGTGAAGTGCTATTTTCACTGTAGTTAATGAATGTTTCCTTATTCTTCACATAGTTCACAGTTTTTTGTGGACCTTTGAAACACTTTCCCTCAGGCTGTCTTACCAGATCACAGCGTGAAAAATATCATGACTAAATCACAGAGGGTTTGGTGTGATGATGCAGGCAGCTTAGGGAAGAACATTTTGGATACAAAAAGAGCAAAGATTTCCAGCACTAGGGCTGCGTGAGCCAAATGGGAATTGGTGCTTGTAATTCAGACCTGCTATGCATCTTTTATTTATGGAATTCATCCATTTATTACACATCATTTTATGTGGGAAAGTTTATATTTCAAATCTATATATGTTTTATGTATTTGTTTAATATTTAAATTTACGAGACAACAAGCTGAATTTAGGTGGGTGCATATTGCTAAAGGAAGCTACATTGTTTTGGTTCTGAGGTCCACTGTGTATTCCTAAAGCTGTTAGGCTTGATTGGAATGTTATTACACTACTTCAGGGATCACATCCATTCTTGGCAAAAGAAACTGTGTGTTTCAAGAAAACAATGCCTTTAATATTACATATTGCTTAATAAACATGCACACAGGCACACAAAGTCTCACATTACTTACGGTAACCTAGATAGCTGACTTAGCAAGTTAACTACAGACTCTTCAGTGTGTCGCCCATCGCTCACAGCATCTCTTTTCACTCCCTCCAGACACTTATACAGACACCTACTTAGAACAGCTTGGCACCTCTTCTGTAAACCTTACACTCTGCAGTTCTCACACAACTAAGATGCGATGTTCTGTTAAGATATTCCTAAATATCTTCCTTTTTTAGGATGAACTTTCTGAAGAAGATTTTGAAATGGAAGTCACACAAATACATGAGGTATTGCCGTCCAAGATGCTGATCACCACTAGACTGATTCCAAGCCTTTCCAATAGAGTGCTCTACCTTTGATTTTTGCTCCTATCACATACGTACTCTGGATCTGCATGTCCCTGATTGGTTGAGTGGATAAATAAGAAGGTGATTTAAACCAATAGCTGTCTGTTGTTCCCTTTGTAGAGTTTTAGAATGGAGACATTTGCAGGTCCCGTGTTCGCCTGGCTGCGACGCTCCCTGGGCATGTCTGAGAGGGACTACCAGCAATCTCTAGCAACCACCCAGGGCTGCTACCTGCAGTTCATTAGCAACTCCAAGAGCAAGGCTGACTTCTTCCTCACGTGAGAGCTGTCATTTAAATACAAAATACGCTCACTTTGCAGTGTTCACTCAGAAGCATGTTATGCCTGAAGTCATCTTCCAGGTCTATGAGTGTATTTCAGTTGGGTTGTCTGTCCCCTTATTGTATTTGTTATTGTTGGAATCTACAAGGTCATGTTCACTCAAACCTCACTTCCTGCTTGTTTAGGAATGACAAGAGGTTCTTTCTGAAAACACAGAACAAACGGGAAGTGAAATTCCTCCTGTCCAACTTGAAAATCTACCTGGAGCACCTGGAGCGGTATCCCCACTCTCTGCTTGTCAAGTTCCTGGGTGCGAAGTTAACTACCCCCACCATGAGGGACTCCCAGCTGAGAGCTATATCAAGCTCAATAATTAAAAAAATAAAATAAAATTCACCCTGTCATGTGTCTGTACGGCCCTGTGTATGTTCTCAGCCACAAAACAACAGCAGTAACTGAGGCCTTAAAATCTACCAAACTATATTAAGCATCATTTTGTTCTCGATGCTAATGGGTTTTTTTGTGTTATGTAGGTGTCCACCGGATCAAAATTCCCCGTCAGAGGAAGGTGGATGCTTGTTCCCTGGCTCCTACTTTTTGCATCATCTCTGCACTGCTGTTTACTCAGAGCCGGCATTCTCGTGTTTATATTCCTCTAGAAATACTTCATTGTAATGCAGAGTGTTTTCTTCCCCGATGAGAGAATCGAAGCCAGGTAAGGCAGCTCAGCACTTACGTTGGAATGGTGAGACCCTCTCGCACGCTTTCATCCTCAAGGGTCCATGATGAGTGAGCAGGGGTGAGAGACATCACAGGGCACAGAGAGACACTCAGGGCTACACACTCATCTGGGGGGTGATATAGAGATGCCAAGTACCTGAAGGAGCCCTGCTAAAACATGGCTACGCGAAATCCACACACACGGCTAGATCTTATGCCAGGATCCTGTGGTGGAGTAACGGAGAAATGGGGGATCTTCCATTTGAAGTTGGTGAATCTTTGCAAGGAACTCCAGACAGCCCAAGTGTTGGTGATAGAGAAGTCGCTCCCCAGCTGTTCTGTCTCTCTTGCTTTTACAGTTTTTAGAGTATTGTTGAACTGCCATTTAGCAGAGCAATATTCCACCCTGTTTTCCCGACTTGTTAACATGGTCTGGTGCATCTGAGTACCCTCAGCTCCTTGGTAAACCACAGCTTGGCATTATATCACCTCACAATGGTCTCCTCAAGAAGACATACAATTTCACAGAAAGAGATGCAGAATGTTCATCTCCCAATGCTTTCATGCATACTGTTACACTATCCTTCTGTAAAAGAAAAAGTGGTCCAGAGTTTTGTTCTCCCATGTGGAGCAGCTGATCAACTGATGATTTCTATACTAGCGGTAAATCTTCCAAATGGCACAGTTCAGGAGGTTGATCTATGGCACATATGAATGAAGACAAAGGATGTTTCTCAATACAAAGAATGCTAATATCATACTTGTGGTCTTGGCAAGAACTGTCTTGTTAACTTGAATGGGATTGGTCTCGTTTTGTGAGGATGCGACAAATGTATCCTTGATATTTGGGGTGGGGCAAGAATGACATCCGGGGATTTTTTACTGTCCTCTGGACTCTGTCTTGAGTATTGGAACTGGTCTTCAGCAATGAAAGATGATGTCAGAAGGGGACACAAGAACACAAGTATGGTCAAATACGCATATTGAGAAACACCCAAAGTCACTGAGCCTGCTTGACCTTCAGCCTGATGATGAGGTCAGTGTTTCTCTAGGTATGACATCAAAGGCTGTGAGATAAGCCGGTGGACCAACCCCGCCCCCGAGGGGAGCCAGGTCATCGTGGTCTTGAAAGATCTGAACTTTGAGGGCAAGCAGATCACATTGGGTGAGGGCTTTGAAGAACATCTCAGTCTCTGTGCCAGTTACATTATATAGCTGATCAGAGTCATACATCTTGGCTCTAAGGTACAACAGCCTTGGCAAGCCGAGACCTGAACACCATGCTGTCAAATATTGACCTATTATGCATGTTAAGCTTGTGGCCATGCTGTCTTATCATATATGTCCAGCTGAATTTGATTTCTAATCCCAGTGATAACTAAGCAGTTCTGCAGTATATTAATCCATGTTGCTGCTTCTCAGGTACACTGTCTCTCCACTGTTCCCAGAGCAACAGCGGCCCTGGCTGATCCGTCAGATGGAGATTGACACGGCCTTCCTGCAGAGGCTGAACGTGCTGGACTACAGCCTTCTGCTGGCCCACCAGCCCTTGCACCGGGATGAGCGAGCCATGGGCCTTTCCTTTGCCAGCGTCATCATGCGCACCACCAAGTAGGTGCAGTTCAGGCAGCCTCCAATCAGAGAAGCAGCTCCACCCCTCAGCCTGCTGGGCACCAATCACATGCAACGTTACTGCTCACTATGGTCTCTATGGTCACGTTCAATGGTGTTCTTGCATCAGTGTGAACTCAGCTCGCAGTCTTGAAGGGTCACGTCTTTTCTCAACCATTATTAGATGTTAAATAGCAAATAACTTCAGAGATACTTCTAATTTGTCTCCACTGAATATGCTGGGGACATACTTTTGTACACATAAAGATGCAATTCCCCAGCGACATGTTTTTTTTCCTGCTGACATATATAGCTGCCTTACAGTTCTGGTCTTGATCCCTCTTGTATTTAATGAAAGCACTTAATATACATCTCACATTTGTCAAAGTATCTCAGCTGCTTTGTCAACTGTATGATAGATGTGTCTTACAGTGAGATGAAATGTCGTTTCCCTTCGTCATAGTGCAAAAAAATATATATAAATAAAAAAAATAAATTTAAATACGTAAAACGTAAGAAGACATGACAATTAAATCTTCACATGAAATTCAAGACATAAATAAGACATAAAATATAGTTAAAAAGATTTGATTAGAAGGGAAGAGTGTGCAGTTGTACAAGGAAATCGAATGAACATGGATGGTGCAATAAGTAGATTTTTGTTCGTGTTTGTGAATTGTGATTGTGAATCCAATCCAGAGAAGGAGACAATTAGCTCATTTAGAACATCCAATCAGATTGGGGCGGGGCACAGTGTTCAGTAGTCAAGCAGCCTGGGAATTAAAAGAAAAGAACCAAAAGAAATAAGGAAGAATGTTTATTTTGTTGTGGAACAAAGCAAGGTGTTTTAAGCAAGCCAGTTAAATGAGCAGTAAACCAATCAGAATGCAATGTTTTTTTGTGATTGCAGGTCCTACCCTCGCATCATAACAAGGCGAACAGCTGACAGGCATGTTGTGACAGCAGAACTTTAAAAACACGTCTGTGGCACTGCTGTACCATCCAACGTGTCTGACAGAAAACTAATATGTGCTTTGTCTGTTCTTTATGTGGAGCATCGTCCTCTTTTTTGGTGCAGCCTGGTCGTTTTTTTATCGTTCCTGTGTCGGTCGGCAGAGCTTCACTCAGTAACATTTCTAACCGCTAAGTATGTAAAGGGATTGTGAGTGACAGCTAGTACACAGACAATGCTGAGTATATTCTACAAATGCTGATTTTTTCTGCATTTACTTGTTATTTAAATCTAACTTTATTGATTAACTAAATTTCTTATGGTCTCACCTGGATATTTGACTTATTTGTGTTTACCATCCAGCCAGAGGATACAATAACAGGAACCGATCCTGGCATCTGTGGATGGCAAACCTGTGTTTTCATCATAGCTCTGGGTGGGTATGTTACATCTCCCATTGCCTACAGGTCGGTGAACCCGGGTTGTAGCCCCGCCCACAGCAGCCACGCCTCCGTCCCGGGGGCGGTCCTGGAGGAGGAGTCCACCCTGCTGGTGGCGCAGGTCGACCGGGCGACAGCGCGCTGCCGTGTAATGGAGACGTATCACGAGGACGGCCTGCGGCAGGATCCCGCTGACGGGGAGGCTTCGGTGACAGACCCAGGGCTGCGGGAACTCCTGGCCCAGAACCGGAGGCTGCTGCCCAGCACCAAGAACCCACTGCATGTGATCGATGGCCGGGAGCTGCGCTACTTCGTGGGCATCATCGACATCTTCACCGTCTATGGCTTCCGCAAGAAGCTGGAGCACCTTTGGAAGCGGCTTCGCTACCCGGGCCAGTCGTTCTCCACCATCAGCCCCCCTGCATATGCACAGAGGATCTGCCAGTGGGTGCAGGGGCACAGCCAGTGACCCGCAGACCCCCCCAGGGCAGGGGGAAGGTTTCAGGGGAACGGCAAGGGACTGGGGGACGCCATGCCCCCCCCCCCCCCATATCACAGGGTCAGAAGTACTCCTTCTTTTTCATTGGGTTCTGTATTTGATTACATTCAATATTATGTTACCTTTTTCCATGGTGTTCCAGGAAAAGGAAATATTCAATTTCAGTCTCAAACATATCAAACCTCGTTCTGTCCTGGTTAAGTGATATGGGACAAAAACCTCAGGGTTTCTGTTCTTAATCACATGCCATATATGACCCAGGACCTGGCAAAAGCTTAGCCAACTGCTAGTAAAACAGACAATGGTTCTACTACATTACTACATTTGTGAGGCTTTCCTGGGTTCAGTTCGGAATGTTCTCAATAGAATACCCCTCAGATACCCTTCCCAGGACATACCCCTGTCCTTCCTGCCCTGGTCCAGGTCATCCTTGTAGCTCTGCAGGAGCATAGGACCCAGGGGGGACGAAGGAGGGGGTGTACCCTCAATATTGAATTTGACTTCATGTGTCTCCTCCAAAACAGACTCTTATACTTAAATTATTCAACTGAGCACCCCCCCCCCCCCCCCCCCCCCTCCACCCCAGTCTCAAACTCTCTCCTGTGCCGTTATGCTAAGAATACAAGAATACATGGAAAGATGGATGGGTGAACGTCCCTGATAACCAGCTCCTGAAGTGAATCTGCAGGTGCGGTGGCTGTTCCCATGGGAAGCGTGTCATCTCCACGTTCCATGCCTCGATTAGGTCCATTTCAGTCCGGTAGTTATTTTGAGAATAAAGGACTCATTTCATTTGCAGTGTGAGCCTCTGTTCTCACTTCTGTAGCTTTAGATCACTGAAAGCAAACCTCAAAACGAACACTTGTCCATCTTCAGGCTGGAGTAGTGAGTGTTTCAAACAATGTGTGGGCGTCTCAAATGATTTGTGGGCGTGTTGAAAGATTTATGGGTGTGTTGGAAGGTGGGCGTGTCAGCAGGGTGAAACTGGGTGGAACCATACATCATTTCTTTTATGCTTTCTGGAAATATGGCGATGTGTGGCGTTACATGTAAATATGCATAGGAAATGGCTCACGCTATATGAAAGAGTCTGAAACAGGCATTTAATTATAGATCTCTGTTAATCATAGTCATTACTTGACCTTTATGTCTGGTCTCTTTCTGAAATAATGTTTATTGACAGCAATTTCAAACAAAAGAAATATTCTTTTGGCACAGCTGCTCTATTGCACGTCACCTTTTGACACGCCCACCTTTTGACACACCCACCACTCCTGCAGACACATGTCTCTTAAGGTGGTGAGGTGGTTCAGAGTTCAGCATGACTTTAACTAGCTGATCTGGTGGTGGGAAACTGGGTCAAGTTCTGCAGTTTGGCTTTTACCAGAGCAGGTGAGATGTTAGATCATAGTGATGGAATAGAGTCAACAATTTGAGCAGTAAGAAGTGAAAGAAACAGGCTTCTTGGGGTTTGACCTGTACATGTACCTCCATATGTATCTCGCCAGGGGCCTGCGCCCATCTCTACACTGAGCCTCAGCACTTCCCTCGCTCCTGCTATGATCCTCATGCTTATAACCACACCTACTTGCAGCTAATCCCATGGTCTCTGGAGGATATCATGGGAATTTCAGACCTACTGTGACACCTTTACAGATGCTGCTTCTTTAATTTGTGAGAATTCAAACATAGGAACATTAATGTCGCAGGTTCATCGTCGAGAAGATTTTGGTCGACCATGAGAAATGATGATGAATGAAAATATGCATAGTATTTCTCGTCTTGTCTGTGATTTGCCAAGCGGTGTTTGCCAAGTTGCGAGATTTGCAGAGGATTATAAGTAAAGGTTGTGCTCACTGTATGTGCGCTGACGCCCCATGATGGACATGGTGACGCACCCCAAATCCTCCCTTGTAATGGGTACCTTGGGTCTGGGTTCATATTTATATTCCATGTGCAGAAGTTTCGAACAAAACCTATGTGTATATCTGTTGGTGTGTGGAGTCTGAGCTATTACTATAAAAAAAAATACAAAAAAAAGAGAACTAACGCAAATAATGTTATTTGAAGCATGAGTTTCTGTGCATGAGGAAAATCTGTAAACATAGTTATTTAAAAGTTAATTTTAAATAAGGAAAAAGAAAGTATGCAATTTCGGAGGCCTACAAGAGCAGAGTCTCTGAGCTACTGATGCAGCCATAGACCATAAGACCCAACCTGAACACCAAAGAGCTCGTCTTTTCTCATGCAGAGACAAATTCCTCTTTGTGAAATGTATGCATAAAATGTCTATGCCTTTAACTAAATAAACCATTTTTATCACAAAGCAGTATAACCAAATCTGTGTAAGCCGTAACACTTGTGTCTTCCTCTGTTCTCTACACATAAATTCAAAACCATCACTTTAAACCTCTTAAGATGATATTTAGTGTCAAAGAGTAAAGTCAGTCATCTAAACCTAGAATTTACAAAAATCAAGATGTAAGACTAGGATGGTGTGACCGTCACATAGGTAACAGTGTCACCTCATATCTCTAGGGTTGGGGGTTTGACTCACATTTTCTCCTATATATACAGTATCTCACAAAAGTGAATACACCCCTCACATTTTTGTAAATATTTTATTATATCTTTTCATGGGACAACACTGAAGATATGACACTTTGATACAATGTAAAGTAGACAGTGTACAGCTTGTACAACAGTGTAAATTTGCTGTCCCCTCAAAATAACTAAACACACAGCCATTAATGTCTAAACCACTGGCAACAAAAGTGAGTACACCCCTAAGTGAAAATGTCCAAATTGTGCCTAATGAGTCAATATTTTGTGTGGCCACAATTATTTTCCAGCACTGCCTTAACTATCTTGGGCATGGAGTTCACTAGAACTTCACAGGTTGCCCCTGGAATCCTCTTCCACTACACCCATGATGACATCACGGAGCTGGTGGATGTTAGAGACCTTGCGCTCCTCCACCTTCAGTTTGAGGATGCCCCACAGATGCTGAATAGGATTTAGGTCTGGAGACATGCTTGGCCAGTCCAGCACCTTTACCCTCAGTTTCATTAGCAAGTCAGTGGTCGTCTTGGAGGTGTGTGTGGGGTCATTATCATGTTGTAATACTGCCCTGCGGCTCAGTTTCTGAAGGGAGGGGATACTCACTTTTGTGAGATACTGTATATGGAAGATACATGGTTCTTCTTGGCCGTGAAGTTTCCTGCCACACTACCAAGATATGCAGATTTGTTTTTCTAAATTGCTCGTTGTGTATGTGCCCTGTGATGGATTGACAATCAAAGCAGGCTGTGCTCTGTGCTTCCTCTGATAGGTACCAGGTGATCCTGCCAGGATAAGCTGTTGGATGCTGGATGGATGTAAAACTCATTAAATGGGACAATAATTTCCATGAGTTAGAAGGTACACAATTTTGGATGGTTTGTGTACATCCCACATTTATAAACGTACAAAATAAAATTGCAACCTAAATGCAGCTGATTGCACCTGTACGCGTTATTTAAATTAATGGCAGTGTTTCACGATTTCTAGGATCTTGGCCTGTTTAACAAGTGCTAAAACATTTTGAACTTTATGTAATATTGTGAAATGCCTGTGAATAGTTTCATGACGTCATTCTGCTTTGAGCTGATACCAAATCCACTTCCTTATGTTGGTTTGGACAAAATCATTTGCAAAATAAATAAAGGCAAATGTACTGAATTTCTGTTTTTAATTGTTTATTTCCATCAAAGAAAAGAAACCCCAAATAAAATGAATGAATGAATGAATGAATGAACAAATTAATGCAGGAGATCCTTCCCTATGAGGTGATAAATGTGTGCTCTACATTTTGGGACTGTAGAGTGTAGATCAAGGATTGGACCCCATACTACAGAATAGGGATGAAACCTCTGTTTTCTGAGCTACCCTCTGTCCATTTCCCCCCCCCCCCCCCCCCCCCCCCCCCCCCCAGTGCCTGGCACCAGCAGCCATGGGAGGGGCAGGCGCTGATTGTGCTACACTTTCTGTGATCTGCCACTGTATGTATCCATGTCAGGTACACGTGTACCTACAGGTGCTGCAGGTTCTAAACCACTCCCCCCTCTAAAAATCAGAATGCTTTTTTTATCCCTGAGGAAATTGCTGAAATGCTCCCACAATCACTTTTGATCTAAACTGACCTTTTACTGCTCAGATTTACCTAATTTGTTCAATGACCCCAGGTTTACAACCATCTGTTTATATATGACAGGCTGTAAAAGGAGTTAATTCTGTGCTGACAAACCACAATTGGACATCATTTGTAAACACATTAAAACAGCTTACAACACACACACAGAAATGTACTCATATCTTTTTGGGGACCGTCCATTCATTTCTACGGCCAAAACCCCTAACCCCAACAATGATAACATTACCCCCTACCCAGCCCTAAGATTAACCACAGGTAACCAAACAAAATACAAGTTTTTTTTTTTTTTTTTGCATTTTTACTTCTTTCAACAACGTTAAAATAGCAGGTTTTTATCACATTGTGGGGACATTTGGTATACCTGGATCTCTCTCTCTCTCTCTCACACACACACACACACACACACACACAAACACAAGACTTGGAACTGAAATATTTCCATGTACAATGCTATGAACCATACAGATTAATTAACCCTAGCTGACATCGAATTACACAACACCGCGAACACTATACTGCAATAACTTCAAAAATAGAAGAAACATAAGAACATCTGCAGATCGTTCAGCTAAAATGAATCGCGCAGTAAAAGGCTCGATCTCTACAGAACACATAAAGAAAACGGAAGACGGTAAGTCTGTGTTCTGTCTGTGATTGGATGTATTTCTGTTCAAACCCGAGGCGCACTTGGATTTTATTGGCCCCGAGACTTACTCTTTAAGCTCCATTTAATATTCCAACGTGCAAAGCCAGATCAGGCTTTAAACAATGGTAGAACAGAAGAGCGCAGATTGAATCGATTTGTCACGAAACGCCGTCTTAATGAAATTATCTTTAATTGAACCAACCAAATATATTTGAATTTGATAATAATATTGAGTAACGTTTTGCTTCTAAATCATTTGTGAAATAAAATCACATCACGTCCTTGTAATATACAAGACATACATATATTTACATCCATTTATCTGCCATCCGCTTCTACCGCGGACAGGGTTGCGGGGGCATGTCGTATTTTTCAACATTAAATTGATTTGATTTATTTGCGAATTATCCATACCCCTTTAACGTAAGGCTGATCAAGCGATTTTCGACCACACTGATGGCATATGGATTAGCGTAAACCCGGGTCTGGCGCACTCCCCCGCCACACCGGAGCTGGTGGGTGATCGCTGATATCCCGCGGCAGGCGACGCAAAACCAGCCCATGGTACGAGGACGCGCTTGCTGCACTCCCTGAAACCATGGACTTCAATGTCAAGAAACTGGCCTCCGATGCAGGGGTTTTTTTCACACGGGCAGTCCAGGTAACTGTTAATATCTATAAGAAATATAGCACTAAAATTTGCAATATTGTTTCTGTTGAATAATAATAATAATAATTATTATTATTATTATTGTGACAACAGCATCATTTGGAATTACCAGGCTGATGATCTTTTAATCTTGCATCTACACTGGGAGGCGACATTGACAGCTTTACCCTTCGCATAGATTATATTTTTCCTTCCCATGATGTTGATGTCGCCATTGTAAAACATATCGAGGCTGACTAAAGTCCTGTTATTTATAGATACGGCGTGATTCTTACCCGGAGACGTATCCTGATCCTCCGCATTTTCTATTTAATGCAATGCTTCTGCAGCGGTAGAATAATACTATATTTTGTAGGATTTCAGATTATTCGGTATTGCGCTCAAATACAAAAATTCCAAGACCTTTAATTACTCTCACTGTTTGCTACATTCTGTTAATTGAATTGTAATTTACAAACGAGCGCGTTATTTTGCATGTCTCAGTTTAATACGCAGCCAGTACATTTAATTTCCGTGACCTGCTTCATGCAGTGCAGTAAACGCATCACCCTATTCGATTAGCTCAACACAACACGATGAACAAAACGGGAACGTTATCTGACCAAGAACCGTCGCCCTACCCTTGAGAGAGGTACTTAACCTCCGCTTAGGCAGAATTATACCTCTGTCGATGTGTAAAATTGTGCACAGATTAAATTGCATGAAGGAGTAGGAATTATGGGAAATAATCCGTTCATCCATGCATCCATCTTCTAACCGGTTATCCTGGCCTGGGTCGTCGGATGGAAGATAATCATTTTAAAAACCCTTAAATCCCTTGAGATTCAGCTTACAGTAAAAATGTATAGATTTTTTGAGCCAGGACAATGTTTCTCAGAAAGAAAGGGTTTTGGAATGTAAGTGGCTGGTGGGGGAGAGGTGGGTGTAGTTCGCCGGCTTTCCTCCATGTCAGATACGGAGTCCTCTGGGGTCACCGTGGTCACCGTGGGGGTGCTTTTTCAGGATCGGCGGATCGGAAATCATTCCGTCACTGTTCAGTACGCCTTCTCCGTGATCTATATCGGTTGAAACGACAGCTGTTTTATTGTGCCAATAGCCTCTCCATATGTCTTTTACTGCTGGTATTTTACTGCTTTTGGTCACCGATGGATGAAGACGAGCTTTACGTTTAATCAGAAAATGTTGTAGATTGTATTTAGGTAATATCTCGGATGATAATTAAAACTGTGATATTACTGAAATACAGTATAACTCAATACAGAAATGGTAAATGGTAAATAGACTGCATTTATATAGCGCTTTTCTACTCCTACGAGTACTCAAAGCGCTTTACAATACATGCCTCACATTCACCCATCCACACTCACATTCACACACCGGTGGTACAGGGTAGGAAAGACTGACCTGATCTCTTCTCTGGCGTCGCCTGATTTAGATACAATGCTTAATTTGATTTGTTGAATGCTGCGTTAATTCTACAGTGCCCCCGCACCATATGTGAATTGTAGGTACAAATTTATGATTTGACCTGGCTGGTAACACTGTTCGTCCTCAGGTTGTGTCTGTCCCGCGCACTCCTGCAGACACACACACGCACGCACATGTAGGGTAAACATATCCTTATGGGGACCGCTCATTCATTTCAATGGGAAAAATGCTAACGCTAACTATGACAACCTTAACCCCTACCCTGCCCTAACCATAACCATAAGTAACCTAACAAAATACAAGAGTTTTTGCATTTTTAGTTTTTTCATAGCAGTCACCGATTTTTATAAAATAGAGTTTTCCCTTATGGGGACCAGGAAACCGGTCCCCATAAAATGAAAAAAAAACGGATATTTATCACATTATGGGGACATTGTGTCCCCATAAGGATAGCTAAACACGCTCGCACAATTTTAAGAACTGCATCAACTTAAATGCTTACTTTAAACTAGAGGTCCTTCACTGCTTCTCTGAAATCCAACCCTGCCTACTTTTCTCAAACCCTCACATACTCAAGCAAAGGGTACCATCCTATACCTCATGGCGTTATCAGCTGCATTTTTAACATATTTGTCTGACGACTGACATGAACATTTTATGACATTTCCCCTCCATCAATGGCCGCTGTGTCCAGTTTAGTAATTGAGTTATGTAACATATCCATGTGTGAGGTGTTCTCTGATTCGTTTGCCACAGCATGATGGTTCCTAATCCCAGTGTAAGACTGGGGATATCTGACAGTATGTATTGTGACACTATCTGCCTGCTGACATAGGACGTTGGGTCATTGGTCAGGGGGCCATTTCAACAGGCAGCAGTGGCAACAATCAAGCCATATATCAACTGTCATAGAGTAATTACAGTATTACAACAATTACAATATTACTCATTATGTTGCTGGTCTTAATGTTGAATGACAGTCTGAATTTCTATTAGTCTCCATGGATCTATATATAATTTTATTCTCTAATTCAAATGATTTTATACATTGTTTGAACAAGGGCATTTGGCGACTCTTCATCAGGCACTTCACACGTGAGCGTTTTGTCATAAAAGCACCTGGAAAGGATGCATTTTCTGATCACAGGGAAACCACAGGGATCACAAAAATGCTGCATGTCATTTGTAGCTTAATATACACCTATAGCTGTTATTATTTATGATGGGTTTTTTTTGATGCTATTCAGATGTAATTCTTGATTAGTTTTTCGGTCAGCTGGCGGAGGGTGAGAAAGACTGACTGGTGCGGAAAAATATGTGTGTATGGCTCCTCACCAGGGCTTCTGCTCAGGCCCACCTGTTTCTGGTGCTCTAGGGCCAAGGCGTCTTGTGGATGCTGATACAGCTACAGCCATATGTCATCGTGAGCCTTTCGTGTGTGTTTGAGCACCGCTCTCGGTGAGGGCACCCGTGTGTGTGTGTGTCCGTGTGTGTGTCCGTGTGTGTGTGTCCGTGTGTGTGTGTCTGTGTGTGTGTCTGTGTGTGTGTCCGTGTGTGTGTGTGTGTGTGTGCACTCCTCCTTTGTGCGTGGGTATCAGGCAGCAAGCCATAGACTCCCTCCTAGTGTCTGCTTTCTTAGTCCTGTAGGCTTGTCTGAGTCTCTCTGTCATCCTTCCTGAGTTGCTCTTTGTCACTGTCTGCCATTAGAGCCCAGCACACTAGGCTTATTGCTACAGCGGATTTGTGTTGTGTGATATTTCACTGGCCATTTAACTTTGGCATAAATTCCCCTTGGTTCTGAGTGATTGGCAACAAACGTGTGACATTTTTCAGGAGTTCTATGTGTATTTATTATGACATTTATAGAAAATTTGACTCAGCATCGCCTTGTTATATGGAATTAGTCTCTGTGAAATTGGTCTTGCTCATTACATTACCTAGGCATAGCTGACATTATACATGATGGCAAATTAACAGTGCAACTCCAGAGGAAGGCTGACACAAAAATATACGCAGCCTCTGCACAAATTAGAGTAAGTAGATTCCTCCGTTGGTTGACTGCATTGTGATCCTGCGTTTCTCTCCTGAGTTCACGGAGGAGAAGCTGGGCCAGGCTGAGAAGACTGAGCTGGACGCCCACTTGGAGAACCTCTTAGCACGGGCAGACTGCACCAAGAACTGGACTGAGAAAATCTTCCGTCAGACGGAGATCCTTCTGCAGCCCAACCCAAGTAAGAATGTCTGCTCCTTGCCGAGTAGTCAGAGGCCATCTTGTCTGACAGTCATTCATTATTAATGAATTATTTCCTCAGCAGAAGGGTTCTTCGCAAAGTGGTCCACAATTGTATGTTGCTCTTTAATACAGATGAACATTTCACTTAAGAAGTTCACTGGAGTGGTATTTGGTAAACCAACATGTCTTTTCTTTAGAACCAACAATGACTGGTTTGGAGGATAACTCATCCTATGCTCGTTTGTGGGAATCTTCATCAGTACGCTTCTAATTCTCTGGTGGCCACTCTGTGTGATGGAGAGCTGGGCTTCCTGGTTATGGGCAGATTTCCACTGTGTCTCAGGACTGAGTCATCAAAACAAAATGTTGGGTCGCCTGGCTTGTGCATAAAAATGAGCCACTGGTTAAAATAGGGTCAGTCATTCACACCTGTACAAATGTGGAGATGCGGTTTTCCGGGATTGATTGGAGACCCAGCATGATGTGTGGACTCACCTGAAGCAGAGTGTTGAGGTGTGAGGAGCAAAGAGCTCTAACCTTTGATTTTTTGACCCCCCTCCTTCACCATGCTACAGTTGACCATACGGGTGAGTCCCCTTCTCCTCCTGGCACCCTTGTGCCAATGGCTTTGGCCCCCACCCCCCCACACTCCTTGCCACACCCCATCTTAGGTCCATGCAGCGTGCTAAAGGAACATGTGCTGAGCTGGCCCTGTGACATGCCCTGATTGCGTGTGTGGGGTGGAAATGGCTATAATAATCTGTTGGCCATTGATTTTATACACCTCCCATTAATTTTTTGCTTCTGTTGGGTCTGATAGAGGAAACTTTAGCATGCATGCTGGCAGACAATATTTGCTAATGATTCTATTGGTGGGATTGACTCTCATGGGGAGTACAGAAAAAGATGTACAGGAAATCCACTATGGACACAGGGAATGAATGTGTAGTTTTTGTTTCTTTTTAATGATTGGTGAAAAAGTGCACTAGTCGTGGGTTTTCAGCTAGTGAGAAGTCAGGGACTGGGGGGGGGGGCACTGTAGCTCTGCAGGCATCCATAAAAAAGGCATGGGGCCAGCAGTGAGTATGCTTCCAGGCACTAGCTAACGCATGTTTCATTGGCATCAGCAGCTTTTGATAACCCCTCCTTGAGCTTCTCTTCCTCTGGGTTATCAGAGGCCCGGTGCCTCTGCTAGTTCTCCCTCGTCTGGTTTTTAGAAAACAGGAGGTGAGACAAGTTCCCGTGTAACCCTTCAAAGATGTCCATTATGAGTGACATCATGAAAGGTGTCCATTATGAGTGACATCATGAAAGATGTCCATTATGAGTGACATCATGAAAGATGTCCATTATGAGTGACATCATGAAAGATGTCCATTATGAGTGACATCATGACCTGGGACCGCTCCCCCTTCGTGATGTCATTGTGTGGCGATCAGCTGTCCCCCCCTTGTGAGGCCATCACCCGGAGACTCTCCGTCTCCTGTTGTGATGTCATCCTTTCACTGAGTCCACCTTGGACTTCACTACTGAAGGGGTTTCTGGCTGCACATGTCACTACACCACCATTCCGGCTTCACTGCTCTCTGCCCATGATGTCATCCTCCTGGGCTCTGCCGTCTCATCTTGCATTAGTCGTTTGCCTCAGAGATTAACGGTAGTGGTAGAGCTCCAGACGGACAGCCAGACTGACCAGTGCCTCACATTTCGATGTTTTCACATCAGATGCTTTCTTTGTTCTCAAATCATGGCGCCCCCGGCTGGCTCCTCTGAGCCCAACAAATGGGTCGTGGTACTTGACAGTGGTCAGATAGCAGAGCTGTGAGAACCAGTAGCATTTGTAGCAGAGTGTGCTGTGTTTGTTTACCATCCCTGTCCTTTATGACATCACAGAACACGAGGCGCATCGCTCGCCCGGAAGGGTGCTGTCTATGCGTACTCCTCCAGCCTGTGTACCTTTGGTTTTTCTTTTCTGTGTGTATAACAGTGAGTCACTGTGTCCTGTGTGTTACTGAGCATGTGCTGGAAGCAGGTAGCCAGTTTAGAAGCAGATTATAAGCAGATTTTTTTGTGTCTAAGTAATGTTTTGCACCATGCAACACATCTCAAAAAGACACCACTATTGTGCCACTGAAAGCACCAAAGACAAAATACTCCTGGATGGAGGCAGTGTATTTATATACCATATAGCCTATATACCTTATATGTACTGTAGTTCATACTCTGGTGATTTAATATATATTTTCTTAATGGGTCTAGCATTGTAATTAATTATCCAATCAGATTTAGTTCTCATGGTCAAAAAGGAGCCGTACAGTCTAGTATTTGTCAGTGTAAAAGTAAGAGGATCACGTCTCTCTTCCACCTTGTCCCACTCCCCTTCCAGGTGCCCGCATTGAGGAGTTCTTCTATGAGAAGCTGGACAAGAAGATTCCATCCCGCATCACTAATGGGGAGATTCTGGGCCAGTATATGGAGGATGCAGCCAATGACTTTGGTCCCGAAACTCCCTACGGTGAGAGTGGGGGGGGGGGGTTGGCTTGTTGATTTGCGTGTGCTTTTTTAAGGGTGCTGCTTCCTATGTGTCACATTGGTTGGAAGGACATCATTTGAAAGCGATTAGAATGATTAGATTAGAATTAGTACTATTACTGTTTTAGTATTATTGTTACTAGTATTAAGTAGTATTGGTAACACTTTACTTATACCCTTGCATAATGTATTAATTAACCAGAAACTACATGTTACTGATTGGCGATTATCATTAATCAGTCATAACGGTTCATGTTTTTCATGCAATTGCTGTATTTGTTCAAGATTTTTACTTGAGTAGTAACTGAGTTATTAAGTTAGTTGTGCCCCCTCAAGTAAAATTTTACCATAGTATTTAGTAGTATTAGTACTATTATTACTAGGAAAGGATTGGTTACTGTTTGCCGGCAGGATCCTCTCAGCATGGTGCTGTTTGGTTGGGTGAACCATTCCCAGCACCAGGAACCACCAGAAAGCAGTGTATGCACACTCTAGGGCCGCTTGAAAGCAACAATTCACAAAAATATTGTTTCTCATGCCTTTTTTCATGCAGCAGGGACAATTCAGTTTCTAAGCCTAGATTTTTTTAAACCTGTCTCTTCTTGCCTATGTGTGTAACGGAGGTCATTTCCAGTTGAACAGGACACAGATACTGACACACGCTGCCCTCATATTGGACAAAGGGTGTACTGTATGTTTTGGTGAAGCTTTAATGAATTTCAGGGCATCCATTGCCTGACTTCTGTGGACCTTGGCCATTCTGCTGGTGAACCCTGCCCACCGATCTGTCAGGGAATCTCCCGCCACATTCAGTTTTTCTACTTCTTCTGACCTCACCATGTGTCCTCACCTCGGACCTGCCCGCGAGTACATGTTACCTAATCATTGAAACTGATCTCCCTGGAATGTGGGGAACGCCGATATGACGCGTGTTTGTCCTGGTGTGTTCGGTGGAAGACGGAAGTGTAGTGCGGTTTCTGTCCTAGCAGCTTGCCGGTGAAAATGGGTGGATCAGATTTACTGATCTGCCACTTACCCAAGATGGACTGCCTTGCACACTTTACACTTTTATTTCCTTTTATCGACATGTTTTTACGTGTTTTGTTAGTACATTCTCAGTTGCTTTGCTACAGCAGACAAAGCAGGCAGATCTTTACATGTAGCAGGCAAAGCTTTACCTACAGCTGGCAGATCTTTACATGTAGCAGGAAAAGCTTTACCTAAAGCAGGCAGATCTTTACATGTAGCAGGCAAAGCTTTACCTACAGCAGGCAGATCTTTACATGTAGCAGGAAAAGCTTTACCTACAGCAGGCAGATCTTTACATGTAGCAGGCAAAGCTTTACCTAAAGCAGGCAGATCTTTACATGTAGCAGGAAAAGCTTTACCTAAAGCAGGCAGATCTTTACATGTAGCAGGCAAAGCTTTACCTACGGCAGGCAGATCTTAGCATATAGCGGGAAGATATTTATGTACAGCAGGCAATTCTTTACATATATGGCAGGCAGATCTTTACGTATAGCAGGAAGATCTTCTGTTTTTGTGATGTGACTCCATTGTCTTCCCCATGACAGACTATCCTGGGGGTGTACCCTGCTATTGCTCCTCTGTCCGGCGATAACTATTAGCAGTTAATGAAAATTAGCTGATGTGTTTGATTTTTTTCTTCTTACCAAACTCCCAGCAGCGACATTTGTTGTAAACGTAACAATTATTGTTACCCCGACTCTTTTAGCGGTGCAAGCCGTATTATTCCAGTGTATTTTACGGATGGTGTGTGCAGACTATGCATAGCTTAATTATTATTATCTTAGTTTCTCTGGCAGTGCTGTGCTAGTTTCTGGGTTTAAACACACAGGCAGATTTTGTCACATCTTTGTTTTAGCTCTGCCAAGCTTGGATTATGTTTAGTGTAAGATTGTCTCATATATAGTGTGTATTTGTTTTGTGTGTGTTGCAGGGAGCACTCTGATCAAAGTGGGGGAGTTCCAGAGAAGACTGGGTGGTTCGGAGCGTGAGTTTATACAGACATCTGCCATCAGCTTCCTCACGCCACTGCGAAACTTCCTGGAGGGTGACTGGAGGACCATCTCGGTGAGGGCGGGGGGCGCCGCACGTGGCTCCTGAGGCTTGTGGGAATTCTGTAAGACAAGGGGGAGCTCAGCATCTGTTTTAAAAAAATGCACATTTATTTGTGTGCCGGTTCTTTGATGGGGGGTCAGAGCAGAATTTGGATTTCAGTTGAAAGTCTAACGTTTGATGGTAGATTTGGAGGTTCTCCAGTAGATCTCGTGGGGACCTCCGTCTAGGGCTCTGGTTCACATTGCTTTGCCTCTGCAGAGAGAGAGGCGTCTTCTCGAGAACCGGAGGCTGGACCTGGACATCTGCAAAGCACGTCTGAAAAAGGCCAAGGTGGCTGAGGCCAAAGCTTTGGTGAGCTTCCTTTTCTTTTTTTCCTGTTTTTTCATTCCACCCTAAAGCCTCTCTTCCAGCCGCTTTCATTCTTCCCTCGTTTTTATTCCTTTTAATCTTCTCCTCCCTCCCTCAGTTCTCACGTTTTGTCTTGGTTCTCCCAGTAGACTCCAGCATGTAAAGTGGACTGTGGCTGTAATGAGGAAATGTGACGGGGGGGGTGCATAACTGTGTGCTGGAAACTGTGAGAAAGTCTGTCAGCTGGATTACACTCACTTTCCAGGGGTGTTTTCTTCTGTGGACCTGTCTTGCTCTTTCTTTGTTCTTGGTCTTTGTCATCATTTCACTTCTCTAGCTTCTCTCTCCTGTGTCTGCTTCCCCGAGACCGAAGGTTGGGGTTTCCTACTTTTGATTTCTCTATAGACCCTTTGCTCAAGTTTTGTCTTCTTCTAATAAGTCAAAAAAGTAAAAAAAAAATGTGTAGTAAAGGATCGAAATGGTGGAAAATATGAATGCCTGCTTGGTGTTCTGACAGTGTAATTGCATTCATACAGAATAAGCTGAAGTAGAAGATTCAGGTCCAGAAAGTAAAAATCCAGTCCAAGGTTTTCTTTCAACCAGCTAGTTGAGTACTACGTGACTGTGACCCTTTATATTTAACTGGTAGGTTGAAAGGAAGTCTGGATTTTTGCTTTCTGGACCTGAACGAACTACTGCTGAAAACAAATATTAGGAGTATTATGTGAGTGTCACAACCCAGCAGAATGCAGAGGCAGTGACTCTGGGGTGAAGTTGCATCATGTGTTTGCTCTGTTATGCCATAATTGTGGATGCCAGAAGTGAGAGACTGAGCCCTAAGGAGAATGACTTTTGGATTGCAAAGGATGTTGATGTGCTTTTTTCCGTTTGTGGGAGGGTTCAATGTCAGTTTCAGATATATTGCCCTGTCACTGTGAGGTTAGCTAAGGTCACCACATTGCATATTTTGTCATGTTTTCCTCACTAATGATTATACCAGTGATGGTTTATGCATGCCTATGACCATGACCTTTGACCTTTAACCTCTTAACACATGCATGGTAAATGCCATCTGAACTAATTTTAGGTTTTATGTAGAGCATTAAATTTCTGGTCATATTTCGCTGGTTATATCACTGACGAATCTTCTTGTAGTCCTGACTGCTTGATGCATTGAAAGCCTGTGTGCAGTTGAGAACATTTTGAATGTTCTGGGTTATCTGCCATTAGAACAAACAGTTATTATTGTTGTTCTTGTCCTGGTTTCTAAGCAAGTATGACTACAGTGTATTTTTCTATGGACCATTCTACAATGAGAAGTAATGCCTTCACAGGATTGTTAGTGTTGATCAGTGGTGGGTTTGTGCTGTGATATGCATGACTTCTAGAGCCCAGGCATGGAGTTACACACAAACACGTCAAAGACGGTTTGATTCCATAGGCTGCTGCATTCCTGAGGCCTCCTGTGTGGCATCAAACACATCAAGGTGGATTTCCCTCTGCCTGCTTGTCAGGTCACTCTGGCGCAACCAGCGTCATAACCATTAATGATTGCACTTTGTTTTGTCTTGTAATTTAGGTCATTCCTTTCTGGCTCTGTCTTTACACAATCACATGTTTTGAGAAATATAGCTGCCATCTTAACTCATTCCCCTATGCTTAGTCTTTCATGTCTTGGTCATCACTAGGTTGACCAGACTCACTTCTCTGTAGCAGCATTGTAGGACAGATTGGATCTGAAAGCTTCAGTTGTATTTTAAGTGACTTTGTTCCCATGGTTACTCAACAAAGCTTTTCTCTTTTTTCACAAACTTGAAGGTATGATATGACTGATCAACTGGAGTAGTGCAGTGTAACACTGGTCTTATAAAACCCTCAGGTTACTCTACTCCCATGATGCTTGACTCTCTCATTGGTACATTTGTTACTTATGATGACCAGGGGTCAAAGGCCAAGGTCATTGAAAATTCATTGAATGTCCCCCCCAGCCATCTACTCTATCAGTCTTTCGGCACTCAGTACACACAGAAGGGACTCCCACTTTTATACTTTTGCCTAGCCTTACTCTGCCTCTTTGTTAATGTGCTTTGTGATGATGCATGATGCATTGTGGGTAAAGCTATGTCTCCCCCCCTTCGCCCGTAGGCCACGCCCGATTTTCAGGAGACTAGGCCTCGCAATTTTGTTCTGTCAGCCAGTGCTTCTGCGGTAAGCGGTCGCCAATCTAACTGAGGGATACCACCTGCGTACACACACATACACATGCGTACACACACACACACGTACACACACACACAGACAGACACACACATGTACACACACACACACACGTACACACACACACACACATGCATACACACATGCACATACACACACACGTTTCTATTCATATCTCTGTGAGGACCATCCATTCATTTCTATGGGGAAACCCTAATCCCAGCAATGACACCCTTAACCCCTATCCAGCCCTAACCTTACCCGTAAGTAACCAAACAAAATACAAGACTTTTGGCATTTTTATTTTTTTGATTGCAGTTACAGATTTTTATGAAACTGAGTTTCTCCTTGTGGGGACCGAAAAAATGCTCCACACAATGTCAAAATAACAGATTTTTATCACACTGTGGGGACCAAATATATATGTATAACATATAAAATATATGTGTACATACTGTGTATGTGTGTATATATATATATATATATATCACACACACACACATACACACACACACATACAGGCATAGCTTCAGCTGGGATTCTGAACACTTTAAGGATTCTCAAGCTCTGTAAAAAGGCAAATAACGATGAGCTGCTCCAAATAAGGTTATCCTGTGCGCAAGAGCATGTTTAGTGGACTGAACATTTTTATATATAAGTATAACTCATCTGCTCCATTAGTTTAACTGACCTGCTCCATTAGTTTAATACCACGTGCATCTTTTACACTTTTTTCCAAACTAACCAGCCCCATTAACCCTCATCGTGTTTAACTGCTTGTGTCACTCTGTCTCTTGAACTTCTTAGTTCAGCAGGTTGCCAACTCCCACATGAATGACCCCTTAAGAAGAGGCTTGTTTGTTGGCTGCAGCTATGTCTGTGGAAGCTTATAGTTGGCTAATATTTAGTTTTGGGACAAAACAGACCCAGAACTCCCCTGTGTCCCCCCCCTGCTGCTAATATGACAGTTAAAATTATTCCTTTTTAAACAGAACACCTTTGAAAGTTTCACTTGAAAATCCTCATGCAATGTGCTGTGGTCGTATGTGGCTCAGTGGATTAGGGCCTGGTGCCCCTGTGTGGAAGGTCACTAGTTCAAATCCCATGGTTTGCATAGTGAATTCACTGCTGGGCTCTTCAGAAAGGCCCTTAACCCCAATTGCTCTAGGGACTGGCTTACCCCACTTTCTGTAATGGGCATCACTTTTTCAATGACACGACTAGGGAAACATACTCGAACGTGGACTTAAATACACAGGACTAATTAACAACAACAAGAAACAGCTGGTAAACACGGGGATTCCACACGAGGTAGCGAGGGGGCGTGGCACACAGGAGGATCGGATGAGTGGGGCATGACAGTTAGTCAAATGTTTGTCTTAGTATATAGTATATTTGACCATTCTATGCATATAACACACAAGAAACATTTCCAAATACACTAAAACATCTTAAACATAATAATACAGTTTAAAATAATGAGGATAATAATGATACATTAATAAATAGCTACATATGGCACTGTACTGTACCTCAAGCTGAGGAACCGCTGACGCTGTGCAATGTTTTACAGGTGTCTCAAGGTAGTGCATGCGTTCGTTATTAGGAACCATTATATTCAACTCAAGTGTTTTATACAACAGGATTTATGTCAGTCCACTCGTAAGGAGGAGCTGTCTGTAAATCGGATGTTCATAACCCAGGGACGGCCTGTACTTGCGTGGAGTTGGATCCATTTTACAGTCAACTCAGAGTGAACCCAAAGCCCAACAAAGAGTCCCCTGGGCAGGAGGTGGAAGGAGCCTTCTTGGGCCTGTGACCATTGTGATGTCATCATTGTTGGACCGGTGCTCAGATTGCGCCTCTCCCCCCTTTTTTGTTGCCATGCTGCATTTTCAGCTCTGGAGTGAGGAGGTGAACAAAGTGAGTATCCCAGGAATAAAACAAAGCCAAAAATCGAGGTGTTTCCTGGTGGAGCTGCTTCTCCCTTTGCCCTCTCAGCCATCATTGTGTGTGTATGGGCCTGTGTGTGTGGAAGCCATGTTGAGATTTTTGGCCTTTTTGATGTCCGTGGCTTTTTTAGGCTTTGTGTTTCTCGTCACTCTGCCATGATCCCACGCTCAAGGGAAGAATGCTCAAGGGCATTTACTATTTATCTGTGTAGACCTGACATGGGTGACAATGACCGTATATTACTGGAAATTTGAGGATTACGAATATTGTGCACAGATGCCCTGAGATAAATCTAAAACACCATTCATGTTGGGGGGGGGGGGGTGGTTCACATCCATAAACCAGGATAAATTGGGGGTTCACAGCTGAAGCTGCAAAGCCTACTCTGGTGCCGCCCGTCAGGGCACACCTGCTGGGTGCTGATCAGACCAGGGCTTTCCGCACGTCCTCCTAGTTCTTCTATAGCATGGTCGCTCACTTGATGGTGAATGGCTAGCTGGAGTACTCAGAGGAAAAGGTATTTGCACCTCTGTGCCAAATACCGCAGGTGAGTAGTGGTACTTGTATGGAAACCCCATCAGTGCTAATATATACCCAGCTGTTTCCCAGTAATTGTAATGGTTTGTGTGTGTAATTGCTATGACGTGTTACGTTCTTTACACATCACTGTATGCGTGAGTCTTTCTGTCATTGTGTCAGTCTATTTCTCTGTGTCTGTGGTGAGACTCTCCTGCCCACGCATCCTCCACCCTGCCTCACAGCAAAGCGCGTGTCTCCCTGCCCCCCCCCCCCCCCCGCCCCCTTCTCCCACAGGCGGAGCAGGAGCTGCGTGTAGCGCAGACCGAGTTCGACCGCCAGGCAGAGGTGACGCGTTTGCTGCTAGAGGCCATAAGCAGCACACATGTGAGTCGAGTTGCAGCAGCACTGGGCGTGGGGGTCATGCGATTTGCACGATTCTCGTAAATC